GCTCTGGATTCACAGCTCGAAATAAGGTCGTCGTGCGTACCCCTCTGAGCCCTGGATTTGGAAAGTCTTTCTCTTTGGGTGATTCCTTTTTAAGTGTTGGTGGCTCAGGAGCTGAAGACATCTTGACTAATGTGATTTATTACCTAAAAATAAAGTAATACATTATTCCTTCATACTTGTTTCTTTGATAAACCTCTTTTTAAAAATATTTCTTATACAAGCAACAATAAATGTTGGCAAGGATGTGGAGAAAAAGGTACACTCATACATTGCCAGTGAACTGCAAATTGGGGCAACCACTATGGAAAGTAGTATGGGGATTCCTCAGAAAACTTGGAATGGAACCTCCACTTGATCCAGTTATCCCACTCCTGAGTATATACCCAAAGGACTTAAAATCAGTATATTATAGTGACACAGCCACATCAATGTTTATAGCAGCTCAATTCACAATAGCTAAACTATGGAACCAACTGATGTGCCCTTCAATAGATGAATGGATCAAGAAATTGTGTTATATATACACAATGCAATATTACTCAGCCTTAAAGAATAATGAAATTATGGCATTTACTGATAAATGGATGGAACTGGAGAATATTATGCTAAGCAAAATAAGTACCCCAAAGAACCAAAGGATGAATGTTTTCTCTAATATGTGGATGCTAATTCATAATAAAGGCCGGGGAAAAATAGAGGTAATTTGGACTAGACAAAGGCGAGTGAAGGGAGGGAAAGGGGCATGGTGGTAGGAGCAGAATGAATTGTACATTACCCTGTGTGCATATATTATATGATCTGTATAACTCTACATCATGTACAACAAGAAGAATGAGAAGTTATTCTCCATTTGTGTGTGATGTGTCAAAAATGCATTCTACTGTCAGGTATGGCTAATTAGAACAAATTTAAAAGGTCATTCTTATATTCATTTAAAATTTTTTTGTAGATGGACAGCATGCCTTTATTTATTTTTTTATGCAGTGCTGAGGATCAAACCCAGTGCCTCACACATGCTAGGCAAACATTCTGCCACTGAGCTACAGCCCCAGCCCTACTCATTCTTTTTTTTGAATTCTAGGTATGCATCAAAAGTGATTGTAAGTAGCACTTTAAGTTTGGTTTGCTAAAATGGTTATTACTATTATTTTTTCATCTCTTAAACCCCAGTAAAGTGGGCAGAAGTCTGGAGAATGGTTTGTTGGTCTGAGTCAGACCTGTTATAAGAAGTCAGGGCTGGGGCTGGGGCTCAGTGGTAGAGCACTTGCCTAGCATGTGTCAGGTACTGGGTTCGATTCTCTGCACCACATATAAAATAAAGGCATTGTGTCCATCTATAATTAAAAAAAGAAGAAGTCAGGGCTAAGGGAAAGAGAGGCCAGTGGGTAATCCATTCCTTTATTTACTCTTCTTTTCATTTTTTTCTCACCTTAGCCCTTCCACAGCAATCTGAGGGAAATACTATAACATTCCTTTGCTTAATATCTCCTACAGCTTTACCCCTGGCCTACTTTCCCCTCATCCTCTGCCTTTTTCCACTGGCCCACCCAAGCAGAAGAGGAAGCAGCTGTTTCTATTCACTCCCCCTCTGTCCTCTGTTGCTAGGTCCTCTTAGCAACTCCCTGGAAGGACATTCTCTGCTATGTCCTTAATCTAAATATCCCTTCATCTCTTGGCTATTCTACATTTATCCTATTAAATTGAAGTGTGTCTTTTGTCCTAGCTGGAATAGTCAACAATTTGAGAATGTTTTATCTCTTCCAGGCATCATTCCTGCCATTTAATACTGGGATAGTGGTGGTGGTGGGAGTGGGGGTTTGAAAGGGAGGAGGTTAAAAAAAAAAAAAAAAAAAAAACCTTCCCCAAACTGAAATTAATGACAATAAAAGTCAATAAGAGTCAGACATTCACATTTAAGCCGGGCACAGTGACTCATACCGGCTCGGGAGGCTGAGATAGGAGGATCCTGAGTTCAAAGCCAGCCTCTACAAAGGCAAAACGCTAAGCAACTCAGTGAGAGCCTGTATCTAAATAAAATACAAAAAATAGGGTTGGGGATGTGGCTCAGTGGTTGAGTGCCCCTGAGTTCAATCCCTGGTACCTAAAATAAAAAATAAAAATAAAATTCACATTTAAACATTAATTGTTGCTTTGTACAAATATTCTTTATTAAGTCTTCTATTTTATACACTTTAAAAGCAACATTTTTTGCAACTTAACAGTCTTGGAGGAAATCAGGTGCTTAGCTTTTCAAAACACTTTATGCTGCAATGCTCCTGAAACATTAATCTATACCACTTAATAGGGTAAATACCTCATAGAAACATCTGCCTGAAGGGAAGGGATTCTTCACTTTCTATATTTGCAAAGGCTTTAGATCATTGTTGGCTGTTCTATCTCTTGGTCCCCATACATGTTATAGTTATCATTGCTGATGTCATCATCTTCTCACCATCATGGCTTTCTGGTTCCATTTTTAAATAAGCGAGAATCCCTGTAGCAATTTCATGTACTGCAAACACTTGGGAAATAAATTGCTATTTGTAGCCATGAAGTCTTCAAAATATAGCTGTTTGGGGATACCAGAATCTGTAGCAATTTAGAACTAGGATTGGTTCAAATACCATGTTGAGTTGGTATCTTTTTCCAGGTGTACCTCAGAGGTTTCCACAGGAATTATGCCTGTTAGTTGCCAACATATTACTATTGTACACGATTTTACAGACCGCTGGGTCTCAACAACCATGTCAATGGTTTGCTTCATGTTGATGTTCTCAGCCTTTTTCTTTCTTGTCTAAATTTAGTTATTCCTGCAACTGGCTCCAGTAGCAAGCTTTTGCTGTGTGAATAATCCCGGATTTGAAGGCTGAAGAATGGCTGTGCAATTCAATGGGAAAAACTCAACTTAAATTCAATCCAAGCATGGAAATATGTTGTAGGCAAAGCGATTTGTTAACCAGCAAGAGGATACCGCATTTTGTTCCTTTCATTCTCTTGTCAACTTAACTCAGCTATTCCCTACTCAGCCATTCCCTAAAAAAATGTTATTATTTGGGCATGTGTGTTGGCTTGTTAATTACAGGAGAACAAATGAACAATTCTGAAGCAATGGGGGTTAGCTGGCTTGCCAATGATGAGTGGTCCAAAACACTCTATAGCAGAATATAGCGACTACCAATCTGTTAACTTCCTTTTAAAAGATCGTCTCTATCATGAAGCACAAAAGAAAGTCACAAACTGGTAGAGTATACCTGTTTCATCAGCGTTTAAAACACCATTCAAGCTGTAACCAGCAATTGTTTGGTCTTTGTTTTTAAAATTTCTCCTACACACAAATTAATAATTTTCTGGAACACTGTTTTCTTCACTACAGACAACTTCTGAAGCAATTCCATAAAGCACCTAAAATTTGTTCAGTCAGCTGAAACTTACTATGGCCAAGTTAGTAAAAACCTGAGGCATTATGTTGGAGAAATAGTACAATTAAATGCTCATTTCCTGCATGAACTTCTTGGTTACTACCCAAAAAGGACCCACATTCAACTCTGCTTTAGTCTTAAAATATTTTTAAACTTTCTCTTCAATCTTGGCTCAATCTTTAAAAATAATGGACAATGTAGGGGGAATGATGCTAAATATCTTTGCTATTTCTCCTATCTTGTGACAGCAATCTACTGTTTCCACTATCATCACTCTTCTCTTCTAATGAAAACTCATGAAGTGTTTCATTTGACCCCTTTGAACCTTCCTATCATGATGATAGGATGGAAGATGTGACAAATGTGTTTAGAATTTAAGTAACAAATACTGGCCACCAAGTGCTGAAGCCAGATATTGATGATGTTTCTCCTTGTATTAAAAAGTACACTTGAGGGGCTGGGGATGTGGCTCAAGCGGTAGCGCGCTCGCCTGGCATGCGTGCGGCCCAGGTTCGATCCTCAGCACCACATACAAACAAAGATGTTGTGTCTGCTGAAAAACTAAAAAATAAATATTAAAAATTTAAAAAAATAAATAAAAATAATAAGTACACTTGAATAGGAATGTTGGGGAAAGAGAAAATTCAAAAGGAAGAAATTAATGAAGTGTAAACAGCATTTCAGTCCACCAACAGGATATATCTATAAGAAATATTAGGCAGGAAATGATTGACATATGGCCGTACTGTTAGGATAGAATCAACAGGCTCAGTTTACTACTACTAGGACATTAGATAAAAATACGAGGAGAGGGAATGCAGTTGTGACTCAGTGGCAGAGTGCTTGCCTAACATGTGTGAGGCCCTGGGTTTGATCCTCAGCATCACATGAAAATATATTGTGTCCACCTACAACTAAAAAAAAATTTAAAATACTAGGATGGTCTAAAAAGGCAAATTTACAAAGGCAAGGCTTTCTAATCAGCAACTGACACAAAGGGATGAAACAGCTCCATGTCATTAAAACAAAGATATCCTATAAAAATGAATTACAGTTGTTCATGGGGAAGAAAAACAAGGTAATAAGGAAGTAGGTATGGAGAGCACATTATTATAGAGCACAGAAGAGTCCTCAGAGCATAGTTTATCGTGAACACTGTGTGGATGGCAATGACAATGTGTCAGGAATTCAGAGGGGAAAACACACACACACACACACACACACACACACACACACACACACTGGTTACAGCCAACAAAAATTTCACTACAAGTTGAATATCCCTTATCTGAAATGCTTGGGACCAGATGTGTCTCTGAATTTTTCTAAATTTTGGAATGTTTGTATACTTAATGAGATAGGGGATAAAACTCAAGTCTAACCACAAAACTCATTTAATACTTCATATGTACCTTATCACAGACTGAAGGTAATTTCACATAATACTTTAAATAATTTTATACATGAAAAAGTCTGTGTCCACTGACCCATGAGAAAGTAAAGGTGCCACTATCTCAATTACCCATGTGGACAATTTGTGGCTATTTGGCATCACCATCATTCCACTCTGAATTCACGTGCTACTAGAGAGCAATCATTTTAATATATTCATTCACACATAAGTGCTTAACAGGAAAAAACAGTACATACAATTAATATAGTGAAGAAGTAATATGTTCAAGGTAACTAAGCAGTACAGTGGTACCAGCTGTTAAACAATAGCAGCTTTCAGTTCCCACCTGCAACATTGTTTGATTAAAAGGCTGTTGTACACTATTTTATTTATTTAGGTGAGAAGAATCATCAGAAGCTGTTGAGGGACCAGGCAGTGGCTCCTCTAGGGATGAGGAGGCATTGTGCTGGGTTGCTTTTTTTAAAGTTTTCTCCAGGGTTGTCTGCCTCATTAGCAGCAGTTTTTGTCTAAGAAGTCTCTCTTTGATTTTATAAACTGACATGATTTCTTGTTCTGTTATGAATGAACGCTGCTCTAGACCTTTAATAAGCCCATCACACAGTCTGACCATGTTTTCCACAGGCACTTTCTCTGCAGTGTTCACATCCCCTTTGTCATCACTATTATCACATTCACCTTGATGCAGAACCATTTCAGGTATTTCACCATTGGTCAATGAATGAACAACTGGAGCTTGATTATTGATATGAAAAACTTTTTTGATATCCACTTTTTCAATAAATTTCTCTGTTGCTTTGTTATTAGCAGCTGTTTTATCACCACAAATCTTTAAAAATGTAATACCATGTCTTTTCTTAAATTTCTGCAACCAGCCTGTTGAATATTCACAGTTTCCTTGAATTTTCAATTCATTATGATAGATCTTTGCTTGTTTCATGATCAGCATACCATTCAGTGGCATGTGTTCATTGCGACGCTGACGGATCCACTCTTTCAACACACGATCAAGATCTTCATTCTTAGCTTTATGCAATGTTTTTCTATTTTTCATTAACTTTGGTTCATCACTTTCAGCATAGAACTTCAGCAGTTTATCCTTCTGTTTCTTCAGGTCATATATGGTGGTCATTCCAACACCATACTCTTCTGTAAGTTGTTTCACACTAATACCACTGTCCAGTTTTTCCAATAGCTTGACTTTCTGTGCTATAGATAAACATAAATGCTTCCTCTTTTTCTTATCATTGTTACTCACAGGGACATCTGCAGGCCTTTTTGACATTTTCAATAATATTTTTACACTGTAGAGCAAATAATATGCAAAAAACTACTGCTAACAACGCATTTATGTCTTGGCCCCATGTGGAACATGCTGGGGAATCTGCTGTTGGCACAATGGGCCTGCACACGTCATTTTATAACCCTCTGAGGGTGTGCTTCTGTGAGAGAATCTGGGTGTGTGGAGAAAAGGTATATTGCAGCTGAAGACAAGGAGGGTCTTATTTTCCTTGGGGAAGCTGAATAAGCTGAGTTGTATACCTGTGTCTTGACTGCAAGCTGTCATATAAGATTAAGTGTGGAATTTCCCACTTGAGGCATCATGTTGGCACTCAAAAAGTTTTGAATTTTGGAGTATTTCAGACTTTCAGATTAGGGATGCTCAACCTGTACTTTAAAATTAAAGGGATGCAGTAATGTTTAATATCATGAAATTCAACCAATATGAGATGTGTCTATTAAAAAACTATCTGGGGTTCTAACTTGAATTGTAATGGCTAAATTTCAGTTACAAGATTCCTTGATCTTCTTTTTCCCTTAGAAGAACCTAGTTTTCCTTCATAAAGAATCAAGGAAATAAGCAATCAAGGTAGCACTTATATTGCAACATCCATATCCAAATTCTTATTAATAATACATCATTTATGTTAAACTAAATTCTTCACTAGAAATAACAAAGAATATGTGGACTGGGGCTGGAGGATAGCTCAGTGGTAGAGCACTTGCCTAGCAGGAGTGAGAGGCTAGGTTTGATTCCCAGCAACCAACACACACACACACACCAAAAAAAAAAAAAAAAAAACACCTGGACTGGAAACCCACATGTATATTTTAAAAAATTTAATATGCTACAATTTCCATTGTTTTTGATATTTTCTGGAGTTTATGAAAGTAACATTTTTCATTTTTAGCATTCTTTAGTAAGAAGTAAGACATCTCAGTTTTATGGTCCTTTCTCCTGTTATGAGCCAGAAACTGAAGATGTTACAATTGTTCTCCCAAAGTTTTCTAAACTTATTTACACATCAAATACATAGTTATATGTATAAAAATACATTAGATTATTTTTAAAATGTCCTGAACTTATTTATACATCTAATACAGAATTCTTTTTTAAAAAATATTTTTTAGTTATAGGTGGACACAATACCTGTTTTAATTTTATTTTTGTGATGCTGAGGATTGAACCCAGGGCTTCACATATGTGAGACGAGTGCTCTACCGCTGAGCTACAGCCCCAGCTCCTACTACAGAATTCTTAACACTCAGATTACTGAGGTCATAAAGAATATCATAAAGAATTTGTTATATGTAGTTATAAAAAATTAAAAGAAAAAAATATTTTCCCATAAGAGAAGGTTCTTCTGTATTTCTGCATGTGCCTGGCCCACAGAACTGTGTATATGTGGGAATTCGAGATGTACTGGTTGAATAAACAAGTGTGCAGCATGAAAAATCTCAGTTGACTCTTCACAGATGTATAAATCACCAGGATTTGGGGGGAAAACAAAGTTCTATATCAACAAGCAAACTTTTAATCTTGAAGTAAAAGCAGACTTGCTATTTTCAAGTGCAGAACTAATGTTAAGTTCCACTTCAAAAAGTTGCACAAATTGTTAGCTAAGGCCAGGTGCAGTGACACACACCTGTAATCCCAGCAGTTTAGGAGGCTGACACAGGAGGATAGAGATTTCAAAACCAGCCTCAGCAACTTAGCAAGCCCTAAGAAACTTAGGAAGACCCTGTCTCAAAATTAAAAAAAAAAAAAAAAAAAACATAAAAAGGGCTGGGGATATGGTTCAGTGGGTTAAGTGCCCTGGGTTCATTCTCTGGTACCAAAAAAATAAAATAAAATAATTGTAAGTTAAAAGCACAGCAAGAACTGACCTTACCACTCAAGTGAACTATACCTAAGACAAAACCAGTTAACATCAGGCACACTTCCATCAGAACTTTCTAAGTCTTCCCATCACTTTCTCCAACTTCCCCCCAACACACACACAAGTTAGTAGCGCTTATTTGCATATAACCTTAACAAATATTTAGTTATACTCCCTTTTATAATCTGTTTATTTTGAATTCAGATTTAAATGGGGGAATCACAAAACACACACACACACACACACACACACACAGGATAGCAGGAATGATAGAAATTTGACATTGCACCACTCCTAATTAATTTGGTGACTAATTTGTGTGCAGGACCACTTGCAAAATAATAAATCAAGCACTACTGACTGCACAATCTAGTCAGGTGCACTTATTCTTATTTCTTTTAGAAGAATCAGGAAATTTTAAAATGGACAAAATATTTTATTGGGAGTATAAATATATTTTAGTTTCATATACCACGGTATCTTAATACTTAAATAACTTGATGATTAGTACACATGAGGAACTGTATTGTAAAAAAAAAAAAAAAGGAGATAAGACGATATCTTGATATCTGGGTCAGAACAACTTAAAAAATAATTTCAATTAGTACAAACAGGTTTGGGACAATCAGAGGACTTTATGGCTTGAGGGAATTTAGCACAGCCTCAAATTCCAACTTTACCACTTCTAAACTGTGATTTTGAGTAGGTTTCACTTCTGATTTCCAGACTTCACCTTTATGAAAGCAGTAATACTGTCTATTGCACAGAACAGATGCGAATTAAATGTATATGAATTAAATGAAAACATTTTTTAAAGCATAATAGATTTTAGATTTCCAGAAAAAGTTACTACTGTCATCTTATCCTCCATCCTCCTTTAAACAAAGAGAAACCCAAACTCAAAGTGATTGCCTCTTTGCTAGGAGGGTGGGACTATCCAGGTCACGCCACTTCCAGCCCACTCATCACCTCATACCATCTCACTTTAGACTTGAAAGAAAACATGGACTTTGCATCTGTGAGTTACTAAAACAACATTTGTAATAATAAAAAATGGGTCCTATATGTTCTTTGCAATGTAATTTTTAAAAAAAATCTCTTTCTATTTCTTGAATTTACTGTACCTGAAAAAAGGAGAAATATTTTGACAAGGGCTTGTTGCAGATATCCTGAAAAACCTATTTGGCTTCCACAACCCCAGACCAGATTACAGGTTATATTTAAACAAACAGAGTAACAGGTACACAGATTTTTGGCATGAGTTTATGTAAAGCTTTGTCAATTGGATTTTGAATATAAAATTTGTTCTTTCAAGTAAAATTAAATGTACATTTGATGTGAGGCTTACTTTTTCAATGTTCATTGATATCGGTATTACTGGGCAATCTTCTGACAAAATAAGTTAAAATTCCATGGAAAAGCTGCCCAGAAGCTGAGAACAAAGTAGTACCTACACTTCCCGTTAATTACTTTGGACCTACTCAAAGATAGGTGCATTTGAAGCCTCCAGGAGAAACTGCAGTCAATTAAGTTCCAGACTCTGTACTAGGGGATTGAATACGCACAGCTACAAAAGAAAAGGGGATCTTGTGAAATAATAAAACCACACTCCCCTAAATGAGAGAGCCTGGTGAGCTGGGACTCAAAGAAACCGCAGAGAAAGTCGCAAAGGTCTGGGAAATGGGCTCTATGCGGCCGCGTATGTCCGAAATACGGCGTGCGGGCTCACGTACTCCCGGAGCGGAAGGGTCGGGCTGCCTGAACCAACTCAACCAAGTAAGCGGCACCTGACAGTAACACTGGAAAGAAGCAGCGGCCCTGCCCATTCCCAGCCAGTGTCCCTCCACCCGAAAACCCACCACCACCGCTCACCTACCGCGGGGTCACCCCTTCTCCGCGCTTGCGACTGCTCGGCCCCCTGCAAGAGAGAGAAGCCGAGCGCACTCGACCCGGCCCACGCTACAGCGCCACCTACATCTCGGAGGCTGCAGTGCTGAGGCGCAGGGATAACTAGGCTCCACCTGCCCATGCCTCTACCTGCTGAGATTGACCATGCCACAGTGGGGTTTGTGGGCTGGAGTTTTGCAAGGGACATTTCCCCCTCCCCCCCTTTTCTCCTGTTGACCTGTCTTCAGCCTTCCAGCTTCAAATAACCTTTCCATTTCATGTTCATGTTTTCTACAAATAATAGGAGATCATCGCCAAGAAATATGTGTTTATTTAATGAAAATGGGAGTATTACAAATTAGAAAAGAAGAATTAGGTCTAGTCTCTGTCTACCCTTACTTTAAGAACAGAGTAATTTAAGTGTACAGTTAATCCTCTGCCGTTTCTGTTAAGGCCTTCAGATTCTTAAACATACAAGATTGTGCAGTAATGATTAAGATAACAAGATGGATAGGGATGCTGGTTTGCTCATCCTTGTTAATGCTTACATTTGTTAAATTTTGTTTTAGTTGTAGATGACACAATACCTTTATTTTATTTATTTATTTTGTGTGGTGCTGAGGATCAAACCCAGTGCCTCACATGTGCTTAAGCAAGCACTCTACCTCTGAGCCACAACCCCAGACCAGATTACAGGTTATATTTAAACAAACAGAGTAACAGGTACACAGATTTTTGGCATGAATTTATGTAAAGCTTTGTCAATTGGATTTTGAATATAAAATTTGTTCTTTTAAGTAAAATTAAATGTACATTTGATGTGAGGCTTACTTTTTCAATGTTCATTGATATTGGGTATTACTGGGCAATCTTTTGACAAAATAAGTTAAATTTCCATGGAAGAGCTGCCCAGAAGCTGAGAACAATATGCAAGGATACAAAGCGTTGTGCTGCATCATCAACAGACCTAATTTTCTCCTCATCCTTAGGGTTCTCCTCACTAATATACAACTTGCCAAATATCAATATGGAAATAAAAATGCTATTACAGCATGACCAATCCAAAGGGATCAGATGAAAAAATAAATGAGACATAAGAAAATATAAGGAAAAAGCATCAACTGTGGTAAAGACAACAGAAAAAAGCCTAACTTGTAAGTTTCATGGATACAAATACAATGCAAATGATCTGAGTAAACAATAATTCATTCCATTTTATGATGCTTTCAAGAGATTACTTTGAAGAGTGATGCTGGTCTGGTTACTTTCATAATCTTCATTTTGGGCACAACCATAAATATTTGATAATACTTAACAGAAGATTTTATATTTAATGGGATTGCATAAAGCAGAAGTTTGTCTATGTGAAAACATTAAAATTGATCAAAGATAGCTGTTGTAATAATTAGTGGTTCCTAAATGTGCCCTGAGATGACTATAATGGTCTGGGATCCTTCCCAAGAGATCTCTGGTGACACAGGTGATTTTTTTTTTCCAGGCAAGCATTAATGGTTGACTTATAATATCTAATAAAAATCACACATTATCAGTGTTTTGTCAAAGGCAGATTTTTTTAAAAATATAAATGCTGCCTTTTTAAAAACCATCAAAGTAGATGATTTATTAATGTGAGCCAAAGATATCTAACTCCCTTGAATAAATTAGTTGACAAATGTAAAAATCAAGCATGTTGTGGTAATTTTAAAAAAATAATCCCAGTTCTCCCCAGTGCCTGTGTCCACACTCTCCATACCCTTACCCATGCCCTCCCACTCTGACTCTGGGTTTAGTCTTGTATGGCTAATACAATATTAGCAAATGTGATCCAAAAGAAGCTATAAAAGCACTTGAACTGGTAAGCATGCTCCAACAAACCCACTGAAGATGAAAGATACACATACCAAAGTCAAGATCCCATTCCCCAAGCCTCTGATTCTGCCAATCTGGATTGTAGCCTGAGAATTTCCATTTTTATCAAGTTCTTGGGTGATGTTGTTGCTCCTAGTCCTCAAACTGCATGTTGAGAAACGTTAACCTACATGATAGGGCTTTTTTTTTTTCATTACTTTTTATTAAATAATTTCTACTTTGAGGAAAGGGATGTAGAATATTTTAACTCATCATAAGAAAATCCTCTGAAAATTTAAATTTAGGATCCAATGAAGCTTCTAACAAAACAGACAAAACAATCTTTTCTGATGATTGAGATTTAAATACAATTCGTATTAATATAAATCCATGGATTATTATCAGTGTAAAGACAATTGATCAGGACAATTTTATTTGAATATCTTGCTATTTATTCTGAGAAGGCATTTTCCAAGAATCACAAAAAAATACAGATATTTTAGGAAAATTAGAAGATGTATTCTAATTATTTCTAACTCCATTCATTCAGGGTACAAAACAAACAGTTTAGTTACTGAGCGGCATAAATTATAAGAAAGTTCTTTAAAAGTTCTAAAAGAGGGTCACATAATGCCTCAAACAAAGCTACAAAGTCTCGAGTTCAAATAATAATAATAATAATAATAATAATAATAATAATAATAATATAATGATTTCCTTGTCTTCTTTCCTCCCTTCTTCTTCATGGGGCTTTCCTCAAGTCATTTGGAAGTTGTTATACAACAGATGACATACAAGGCTTGCAGTAAGTGTTTTTATTCACAGCAAAGCTGTGAAGGCACCACATTCAGGTAAAATGGGTGGTAAGCTTTTGTGCCAAATTAAAGTAAGCTGCTAAGTTAAGTGCTTTTCTTGATTAGTGACAGCATTTGTTAAAAATTCACAATGAAAAGACTGAAATCTCTGGAGGAAAACAGTCTCACATGGTAATAAGACTTGCCAAACTTCTGCCTCTCTCTCCAAGCCACTAGGGATGCCCTGTCTCTCTTCCAGTCATATCTAATTATTTTGCACAGTTTCTTTCCGTAAGAAGTAGAACTCTGACAGGCAAACAGGCAAAAAATGCTTTTCCATTAGCCCAAGAAAGCCTGATGAAATAAGATAAACTGGCTCAGGTACATTATAATGGAAAGTAAGTGAATGAGACAAAAAAGGTAGTAGGATTATTCAATTGTGAGGGATGATTTTCTTTAATATTGTTGATGCATTTATTTTCAATAACTATATGTTATAAACTGGTATGCTGTCCTGCATGTTAATCAACTTTTTGTTACAGTAGGAAAGATTTATTTGCTCACAGTTTCAAAGGTATCAGTCCATGGTGAGTCGGCTCCACTGCTTTTGGGCTGGTGGTGAGGCAGAACTTCACAACAGGGAGCTCATGGTGGGTCAAAGCTGCTCAATTCACGGTGGCTGGGAAACAAAAAGAGAGGGGAAGGGGTGAGCGGGTTGAATACCCCCAGTAATCTAACTGCCTTTCCTGATTTCTACCTCTTAAAGGTACCACGCCCTCCAGATAGCACCACAGACTGGGGACTAAGACTTAAACACATAGGCTATTTGGGGATATTCCATATCTAAACTATAACACCTATTAACCATTTTTTTTTACTTCGATTACCATGTATTGGTTCTTTTCAACATTATGTTTTACAATTCATCTATATCAATGCATTTCAGTCAATTGTTTGTTTCCTTTGCTATATAATATTCTATTGTATTGAGAATTGAAATGACCTGCATCAATATAAATTTAACTGATGGGACTAAGAACTGAAACCACTTATGTCAATGTTACTGCTTTTATTCCCCAGGAAATTCTTTCCAATGAAGATATGATTGTAGACCAATAAAATGCTTTAGTGTTTGCACAAGGAAAATTTTGCAAGCCAATTTTTACAGGCAAGCAGTTTGCTTATCTGGGTAAACAATTTACTTATATGTTCTTTATAAACACTTCTCTAGACTGTTGTCTTACACGCCCATCAGACCTAAAATATTATATCATGAACTTCACTTAATTTCAATCACTTCCTCACCTTGCAAGATATGCCTTAAGCTTTATGAATCCAGAATCCTAAACTTCATAAATACTCTTCTCTAACTTACCCCTCTAAAGACACTGATAAGTCTCTATAAAGTTTGTTTGATCAACAGAATTTTCTGGTGGTCTTATAGGTCTTTGACAAGGTGAATACAGCCTTCCCTTGATTCCAGGACCCCTTGCAAAATCTGCAATGCTCAATCCCTCATGTGAATTGGTATAGTATTTGCATATAATATATGCATATCCTCTCATATACCACCCTTTCAATCATCTCTATATTATTTACAATACCTAATACAATGTAAATGCTGAGTTGTTACACAATATTGTTTAAAGGATAATGACAATAACAAAAGCCTGTACATATTCAGTGCAAATGCATTCTTTTCAGAATATTTACAATGTGGTTGAATTCACACATGCAAAACCTGTGGGTATGAAGGATTGGTGGCATCTTCCTATTATCCACCCTAGTCAGAAGCATACAAGAAAGGGAATTCTGGAAATGTAGTTCAGGCTAGTCAAGTGGACATGTCACAATATCCATTACAGATTATTCATAATGACTTTGACTTTTCTGGGAGGAAAGAAAGATGTGTTTCTTATAAAATTATTGTTATTTGGGTATAAAATTTTAGGTTGTCACTTATTTTCTTTTTAGAACTTCATATATGTCATAATATTGTTTCCCAAAATTATTTTATTTTGTTCCCTTGAAAGTAGTGTATATTTTTATCTGATCGCTTTTAAGGTTTCCTGTGTCTTTGATTTTTAGTAGTCTTACTATGATATACCAAGTACATTTTTCTTTGTATTAATCTGCTTGGGATTCATAGAGCTTTTTGAATTTGTATCTTAATAACTTTCAAATAATTTAAAATATTTTTGGCCAATAATCAAATATTATTTCTTCCCATTTTCTCTTCTCTGCTAGCAGGACTTTATTTCCACATTAAGCTTTTCATTCTGTTCCAAATGTCTTTTACTTTCATTTAAACACTATCTTTTCAACGTATTTTCAGATTATTTTCTACTGATTATATTCTCTCTTTAACTTCTGTTGAAAGTCAGTTATTCTACTCTTAATTTT